CCATTTCCAGTACCCCGTGATCATGACTTAGAACATTTTTACTGGAAGCTGGCATTTCCAGTTTCTGGCAAAAAATCCACCATATAGCGGACAATGGGTTCGCTTAATGACCAGTGCACATAGGGTTGTCAAATCAGGCCCTGTCACAATTTACAACCATAATTGTGGATTTGGCTTTACAACTTGAGTCTTTCAATTCTACAATAACTTACAAAATCATTCTTGGCTGATGTAACCAATAGAATGAATGGGTCTGGAAAATAATTTCTCAGTTGATCACAACCCCTCTTGCTGATACAGTAAAGGAGATCCGCCTAGGGAAAAATGTTCTATGCAAGTTTCACTGGTCAGATCAGAACAATAGGATATACCTTGAAAGGTTGAGACCGTCTCCATGACACCTTTGAAAGGCAGTTCTGAGTTTGTAAGAACAGGGTTGTATCAAGAGTGTATTCAGCTAATTATTAACAGATGCCTCTAGGAAGCTGGTGTTGGTCCCTCTGTCAGCTTCCTCTGGCCAAAATTAGTTTACACAGTCACTGTTAGACAACCCAGACTAACAGTGAAGTGGTTGAAAATATTGTTGCATCAGCTTGCAAATGAGAGTTCCATAAACTAATTATACATTGTATGAAGGACTGATGACTTTCCACTGGGCAACTTCTTCATTATTTTATTTTGTGCCAAGTCATTGTTGACTCCTGGTGACTGCCTGGACTAGTCCCTGCAGTTTTCTTGGTAGGGCTGAGAGAGAGTGGCTGGCCCAAAATCATCCAAATGGCTTGGTGCCTAAGGTGGGACTAAAAGTCAGTCTCCCAGTGTCTAGCTCAGGGGTCTGCAACCTTGACAACTTTAAGGCTTGTGGACTTCAGCTCCCAGAAGCTGGCTGAGGAATTGCTGGCTGAGGAATTCTGGGAGCTGAAGTCCACAAGTCTTAAAGTTGTCAAGGTTGCACACCCCTGGTTTAGCTGATGCCTTTAACCACTATACTATTCATACTATTCCTAACTTTAGAAATCCCTTTTGTGTCCCTCCTCTTAGGAACTTAGGAAGATACAGAAGGATCTTGACAGACTTGAACATTGGACACTATCTAATAAAATGAAATTCAATGGTGAAAAAAGTAAAGTAAAAATAACCAAATGCACAGGTACAGTATAGGTGGTACCTTGCTCAATAGTAGCAACTGTGAGAAGGATCTTGCAGTCCTAGTGGACAATCATTAAATATGAGCCAGCAATGTGCTGCAGCTGCCAAAAAAGCCAACACAGTGCTAGGCTGCATTAACAGAGGGATAGAATCAAGATCACGTGAAGTGTTAATGCCACTTTACAATGCCTTGGTAAGGCCACACTTGGAATACTGCATCCAGCATTTGTCACTATGATGTAAAAAAGTTGTTGAGACTCTAGAAAGAGTACAGAGAAGAGCAACAAAGATGATTAGGGGACTGGAGGCTAAAACATATAAAGAACGGCTGCTGGAATTGGGTATGTCTAGTTTAATGAAGAGAAGGATTAGGGTTGACATGATAGCAGTGTTCCAATATCTCAGGGGTTGCCACAAAGAAGAGGGAGTCAAACTTTTATCCAAAGCTCCTGAAGGCAGGACAAGAAGCAACGGATGGAAACTAATCAAGGAGAGAAGCAACCTAGAATTAAGGAGAAACTTCCTGACAGTTAGAACAATTAATCAGTGGAACCACTTGCCTCCAGAAGCTGTGAATGCTCCAGCACTGGAAGTTTTTATGAAGGGACTGGACAACCATTTGTCTGAAAGGGTTTCCTGCCTGAGCAGGGGGTTGGACTAGAAGACCTCCAAGGTCCCTTCCAACTATTATTGTTGTTGTTGTTGTTGTTATATTTCAGTGATTAAAATGCTAAATTTGAAGAGAGGGGACTTAGGCTCAAGTTCTCACTTAGCCACAGTGCTCAGCAGATGGTCTTGAGCTCCACCCTCAACCCAATATATCTATAGTATTGTTGAAAATAAGCTGGGTGATTTGTTTTGCCTGAGAAAGATGATAGGATATACAGGTAGTTCTTGACTTGCAACAGTTCATTTAGTGACTGTTCAAAGTTACAACAGCACTGAAAAAATGTTTTATGACCATTTTTCAGTTACAACCTTGGCAGTGTCCCCATGGTCATGTGATCAAAATTCAGACACTTGGCAACTGGTTCATATTTATGACGGCTGCTGTGTCCCAGGATCACTTTTTATGACTTTATCACTTAACAACCAGGTTACTAACTTAACTGCAGTGATTCATTTAACAGCTGTGGCAAGAAATGTCTAAAATGGGGCAAAACTCAACAAATGTCTCACTTAACAAAAGAAATTTTGGGCTCAGTTGTGGTTGTTAAGTGGAGGACTACTTGTAACTATAATGTTGATCTATGCAAAGCTTACCATTCTGATTAAAACTAACTTCTAGGACAGGGGTGGGGAACCTTGGCTCTTTTATGACTTGTGGACTTCAACATGCAAAAAGACGAAAAACAAAAACCTCCAGTGTTGGAGACCCATAACTTCTGAAGGCCAACCATTCCACCAGTTAATTGTTCTCACTGTCCTCAGTTTCTCCTCAGTTCTATGTTGGATCTCTTTGTTAAACTTCCATCCGTTACTTCTTGACATGCCTTCAGGTGCTTTGGAAAATAGGCTGACCCCCTCTTTTCTGTGACAGCCCCTCAAATACTGGAAAACTGCTATCATGTCATCCCTATTCCTTCTCTTCGTTAAACTAGTCCAGGGGTGGGCAACCTTGGCTCTTTTATGACTTGTGGACTTCAATACCCAGAATTCCTGAACTAGCCATACTGACTCAGGAATTCTGGGAATTGAAGTCCACAAGTCATAAAAGGGCCAAGGTTCCCTACCCGTTCTAGGAAATCTGCTGGACCACAGCTATGGTGGGCAGACTGACATGGTCCAGAAGATAAATGGAAATTATTCCAGAGGTTCCAGAACACTGATTCTTCAGAAAAGGTCAATTCTGCACCTCTGCAAAATGCAATAATAAATTGTAAGCACCAAATCTTTCTATCTACAAGAAGATAGAGCCAGCTATCTTGTGCAGTTATTCTCCCGCACAAGATTATATTTCCTTATCAATTAATCTGGTGGATCTGAATATGTATACTGTACTGTAAGTACCTCTTTGAGTGATCTAGACTGGGAAAGTATTTTTTATCTGCATCCTTGATAGTTTTCCCTGATCCCTAATTACCACTGTTTCTGGCAAAAATTATATTGTATTTCCTTCACAGGAACTCTGACATCAAACGCTTTTGTGATTAGCCATTTTATTTCTTCACAATATCTCCTTAGTACAGTGATTTTTGTTTGCTCATTTTAGGAAACTGAATTTATTTGACACTTCTGACAGGTTTTGTTTTGTTTTGTTAAATACAGTACAGCATATTTTTTCCATTAAAGTAAACTTCAAAAAGAGAGAGAGAGAGAGAGAGACAGAGAAAGAGAGAGGGCAGATGGTGTCCAAGAATTTGTAAAACAAACTTATAGAGCCTTCATGAAAAATAAATTAAGGATAGCAATGGGGAAGGGGGAATAGGAGTACGGGTAGGAGTAAGGTAACAGTGGCTGTTGACAGAATTCAACCCCAACCTGCCCCAGTCCATGCTAGGGAAAAAGGATGCTGGACTGAGGGGAATGTAACATCAGATTCAACTTAACCCCTGCAAACTCAGGTCTGTTTAGGAAAGGAAGGCAGTGGAGAAACCGTTCCAAAATGACAAAGAACTCTTTGACTTTCTCATGTGTTTTTTAGATCAGCCAAGATGGGTTTTCCAGCTGCCTCTCCGCCTTTCTCCTCTTAAATAAATACATAGTTCCGTGAAAACCCATCAGGTAGGGTGACTTATTTTAAAAATAACAAACTAAAAACACCAACACAAATCACAACACAGCAATGAAAGGTCCATACACACATAACATCACCAGCTACTTCTATTTACATGTAACTGGAGAGATTGCTTTTTTTTTTCTTTTTCGTTTTCTGTACACCGAGGAAGACGGGAAGAGGAGCAAGCAGGTGTATATACACTCGGCAAGGTGAAAGTGGGAGAACCAACGTCTGCTGGGCAACTGAATGGCACCAGAACTTCTCCAATCTACTTTCACCTTCAGTGTTGCCGGGCAGGTGAGGAGCTTTGCTACACATAGCCCAAAGGGCACCTCTTTCCTATAACCAGCCAGCCAGTGAGCCTTTGGTTCCAATTTAGCCCTGTCTTTCTCAAGGAGAGAAGCTGGAAAGTGTGGGTGTAGACTAGGCCATAGCAGACTGCAAGTAGGAGAGCAATCCCACCATTACAAATTCCTTGCTGGTTGAGCAAAAGGATCTACTCTGTCCTTTCTCCAAATATGGTCACCTTCTAAATACAGGAAGGCCTTCCTCCTCTTCTATCTGAATGGAAAAGGATCTACCCACGGAAGCCTCTTCTTGCTAAGTGAGCAGGTTCAACCAGACCTAGAGTGATCGTAATGCCTTAGAATCCAATGTGAGAAGAAGTACAGTTTTAAGCTGGAAATTCCTGCCATTCTGTGAAGAAAGGCATTCACCTTAAAACCTATTATTTTCATTCATGGTAGAGGAAACAGCATGCAAGAAGCAGGCGTGAACTGGAGCTAAGCCAGAGGGAGCATTGAGGTTAATCTCACTTCACAGCATTACAAAATCTAGCCCAGTTCAGAGCTGGTAATGGGATGGTTTCCAGTTAACTCAGTTTGCCTGAACAATTTTATTTTTTCTCTATAGCCCATGATCAGTGGTCAGGAAGAAAGAGATAGATGCTTCTGACAGATATATTTCCCTTCCTATAAAAACACAGCCAGATCTCCTTGAATCTTGGGACATCAGCTTCAGCCTATTTTTGTCCACACTGAGTGCAGGAAAATGCAGTGGGATCATGGCGCTTACGAAGCAGGAGGAGGGGAAGGATGTTCAAATGTGTAAATGGGAACATTATAAATATATAAATAAATAAAACCCACTAAGAACAGTTAAAAGTTCTAGCACTGCCCCCACCCCCTTTTTCACGCTGATCAACTCTTGACCCCGGGGAAGGGGGCATACAGGAAGGTAGAGCTTCTATCTACCCAAAGATTAAAGGGAGAAACTTTTGAAGCATTCAAAGGCCCACACAGAGAGGTGGAGAAGCTCTGGGTTTGAGTCTCGACCACCTACCCCAAAAGGATAAGCAATGGGATAGCTAAATGGTGTGTGGTGGCGGCGGCGGTAGGGAAGACAGAGAGCACAAACTGTCAAGAATCTAGGGGCTCTGATTACTGCAAGACATGAGGCAGGCAAGGTGGGTGGGACAGGAAAAGTCAGGGCATCCACACCAAAGTCTCTTAACAGGCACAATCCTGGTGCGGGGGAGCCTGTTGATCGGTCAGTTGTGGGCCCTGCTTGGCACCGGTCACAGCTGGATCAGCTGCATCCAGTGACTCAGACATCTTTTCGCAAATGATATCGACCAAACGTTCAAAGGTTTGCTTCACGTTAATGTTGTCCTTCGCGCTGGCCTCGAAGAACTCAAATCCTGGAGGAAGGGAAAAGACAAAATACAAAAATGCATGTACAAGAACAGGAAGGAGAAACACAGGACAGTCAGAAGGCCTTGAGGAAAATCAAAGACCGATTTATTTCCAGGGGGGTAAAAAAACAATTCCATTAGCCTCTTGCAAACAATGAAGTGGTTTACCAGAGGTCAGTGTGTATTTTATTAAGAACAAGTTTTGCCTAATGAGCCTTACCCTTTTTATAAACTTAGTAACTCTCTTAGTAGACTGTGTGAATGATGTAGATATAATATATCTCGATTTCAGCAAAGCATTGAGAAAATACCTCATAATGTTCTCATTAGCAAGCTTGTTAAGAGCAAGCTGAATATGCAGTTGACTCAAAATCACATTGGAGAGATCTTATAAATTTATTGAACCAGAGAGATCTGTCTAATAAGACAACCAAGCTTCAATCCTAAGCTTTGTACTCATCATCTTTAATTCATGATTAGCATGAAGGGGCAGAAAAAATAGTTATCTAATTTGCAAATGACACAAATGACTAGGAAAATTAAGTAGAAGCAACAGTGAGAACTGGACACGGAACCACTGATTGGTTCAAAATTGGGAAAGGAGTCCAGCAAGGCTGTATACTGTCGCCCTGCCTACTTAACTTATATGCACAGCACATCATGAGAAAGGCAGGGCTAGATGAATCAAAAGTTGGAATTAAGATTGCAGGGAGAAATATCAACAACCTAAGATATGCAGATGATACCACTCTAATGGCAGAAAGTGAAGAGGAACTATAGAGCCTCTTGATGCGGGTGAAGAAGGAGAGTGCAAAAGTTGTCTTGAAACTCAACATTAAGCAAACCAAAATCATGGCATCCAGCCCTCTCAATTCCTGGCAAATAGATGGGGAAGAAATGGAGGTAGTGACAGATTTTATTTTCCTGGGCTCTAAGATCACCGCAGATGGGGACTGCAGCCAAGAAATTAAAAAACGCTTGCTCCTGGGGAGGAAAGCTATGGCAAATCTGGACAGCATACTAAAAAGCAGAGACATCACCCTGCCAACAAAAGTGCGTATAGTCAAGGCCATGGTTTTCCCAGTTGCAATGTATGGATGTGAAAGTTGGACCATAAGAAAGGCTGAGCGACAAAGAATTGAGGCCTTTGAACTATGGTGCTGGAGAAGACTCCTGTGAGTCCCTTGGACTAAAAGGCGTTCAAACCGATCAGTCCTAGACGAGATCAACCCCAACTGCTCTTTAGAAGGCCAGATCCTGAAATTGAAACTCAAATACTTTGGCCACCTAATGAGAAGGAAGGACTCACTGGAGAAGAGCCTAATGCTGGGAAAGATGGAGGGCAAGAGAAGAAGGGGACAACAGAGAAGGAGGTGGCTGGATGGAGTCACTGAAGCAGTAGGCATGAGCTTAAATGGACTCCAGAAGATGGTAGAGGACAGGAAGACCTGGAGGAATGTTATCCATGAGGTCGCAATGGGTCGGACACGACTTTGCAATTAACAGCAACAACAACATAGTGAGATGGGTGGCATATATATTTAATAAATAAAGGACAGAATAAAGAGAAGACCGAAATAAAATAATTTGATATGTTAGCATCATGGGTTGAAATGAAAAGAATTAAAATTAATGCCAAGTTATTCACCTGGAAAATAAAAATTAAATAGGGAGATAAAGCTGGCTTGGCAGTTGTACCTATGAAAAAACCTTGGAATAGAAGTTGCTTGCAAACTGAGTAGGAACAAGCAGTGTAATGTAGCTGCCAAAACCCTAAGTGCAAATAGTGTAGATGTTCAATCATGAACTGTTAGTGTTCCCTCACTTTAAGTATTGTTAAAATATGGGCACCATATTTAAAAGGGATTCAGGGAAATTGTAAGAGGTTCAGGAAAAAAAATGAAGATCAGAAGACTAGAAATTAAGTCCTGTGAAGAGTAATTGAAGGACGATGAAATGTTTATCCTTGAGAATGGACAGGTGTAATGGCTTTCTTTAAGTACCTGAAAAGATATCTCCCTTCTATTATAAATATGATTTTATGAAATCCAGAACATCAAGGTGAGTTAATCAAGTTTTTATATCTAATAAGGATCCGGCCATAAACAAGTCTTGAAACAACAGTATCGGCTAATAATGAAAGCACAATTTCTAAAGTTTCAAGATCTCTTTTAGGTGATATCCCATTTATTCCCTGTACTTCCTCTGTTAAATTATCTAATCTCCTTTTAAAGACATCTCAGCAACCAATCTTAGAAACTACTGATAGATGTTGTAACAAATGTCTTATTTTTTTTTATCTTGAACCTGCATCTAATTCATTTAATAACAGCTTCCTATCTATGGTTCCAAAAAGATTAGCTACCTACATTTTTTCTATACACTGTGCATATATTATGCAAATGTATCTCTTATATAAATCTGTTTTGCACAATTTATTTAATCCACACTAGCCATATAAAGCCTCTGTTTTCCTGGAGGCAATTTTTTCCTTGAACCCTGAAAACTTGAAATTCTACTTCTATATTATTTATCAAACCCATCTTTATGGCTCAAATATATGTCATTCCAACTGTGGCTCACTTACCCAAGTGCTCAGCAAGCTGACGTCCTCGTTCTGATGACACAACCCTCTCATCTTCCATGTCACACTTGTTACCCACCAACAGTACCTGGGCATTATCCCACGAGTAGGTTTTAATCTGAGTTGACCTGAAGTTGGAGCGACAAACTCAGTTATATTCAGTCAGTACTTCTTAATATGGGAATGGGCAGGAAAAACAAGAGCGTATTTCAGCTGTACTCATAAAAGTAATCACACGCATGCTTGTTCCAGGGAGAAAATGTCCATAGGCAGGAAAGATGTTTATTGGGATCCAACAAAATGTCACAAAAGGGTGTGCAAGTTTTAGAATTCTGGAGAAGCCTTCAAGCACAATTGTTCAAAAAATAAGATACAAAAGAAGCAAGGAAAGTCTAAAAACTAAGCTACATGTAATTTTATGTCAGTTGGTTGGACCTAATACAGGTATCATCTACCTAGGGCAGGGGTAGGCAACCTTGGCTCTTTTATGACTCGTGGACTTCAACTCCCAGAATTCCTGAGCCAGCATGGCTGGCTCAGGAATTCTGGGAGTTGAAGTCCACGAGTCATAAAAGAGCCAAGGTTGCCTACCCATGACCTAGGGATTCATCATGAAGATACACTACTCAAATTCTTGCTCAAATCAACAGGAATGCAATAAAATACTGGTAGTCCTTGTTTAGCAACTGCCTCAGAGAGCAATCATTTGCACTAGCAGTAGCAACAGCACTTAGACCACGGGTGTCAAACTCACCACGTCGCGTGACGCGTTGCAACGTATCGCAACTCTTTTTGCACTGCTGGCAATGGGGTGAGCGCGGCTTCAGTATGATGAAACCGGCCCATGGGCTGGCAGTTTGACACCCCTGACTTAGACTTCTATATACTGCTTCACGGTGCTTTACAGCACTCTCTGAGTGGTTTACAAATGTCAGCTTATTTTCCCCAACAACCTGGGTCCTCATTTTACCAACCTTGGAAGGATGGAAGGCTGAATCAACCTTGAGCCCCATCAGGATTGAACTCCTGGCTGTGGGCAGAGTTCGCCTGCAATACTGCATTCTAATCCCTGCGTCACCACGGCTCAGTTTGGCAGGCTCAATTTGCAGGTACGGCAGTGATGAAAAAGTAACTTTGTAACCAATGCTCAAATGTATGACCTTTGAGCATCTCTCAGTCACCTGTTCACCATTACAGTCAGGTAATAGGCATCGCCTTGTGCCTGGTTTTTTTTCTTTTACCCCCTCACAGAGAGGAGAGCTTGCGTCAACAAGATATCTCTTCCTGAGCTGCTTTTTTCAGCAGCACATTATTTCCCTAGAAAATACCCCAAGTTAACAAGCTCAGCTCTCTCTGACCTTAATTAATTGATTAGAACTCTGGACTGCCTCCCAAATGCTGCCTCTTAACTGACAAGGCCCTAATCAATTTCATGCTGAAGATTTGTTTTTGCCTCTTAAGCATTTGGCTGCATAGAGACTCAGCGCGCTAGGCAAAGAGCCAGTGCTAGCACATTCTTTTTACTGTGTGTGCCTGCTTATTTTCTTGTAACCCCTTCCTCTCCAATAAATGTAAATACAAATATTAGTCTTCTTGCTAATTATCCCAGCAATGGGGAAAGCATTCCAAACAGCAGAGAAGTGGGGGGGGAAAGGGCTATAACAGTGATGGCGAACCTTTTAGAGACCGAGTGCCCAAACTGCAACCCAAAACCCACTTATGCATCGTAGGGTGCCGGGTGGGCGTGGCCCATTGGGTGGGCGTGGCTTCGGTGGTAACAGCAGACTGGGTGGGATTAAAAAGTTCAATCAATCAATTCCAACTTTGCAAGATCTTTTTTTTCCCACGAGAAGTTGAAATTGACTGATTGATTGAACCTTTTTTTTTTTTTTTTGCACACAGCGGCAGAGGCCTAAAGCGAAAAGGTTTTATAAAACCCAGCTGAAGGCCTAGGACTGGGGCGACGGTGCGCGTGCCCACAGAGAGGGCTCTGAGTGCCGCCTCTGGCACCCGTGCCATAGGTTCGCCACCACTGGGCTATAAGATTTATCATTTTAGCTGGCTTCCTCCTCCTCATCAGGGTTGGAAGGGACTTTGGAAGTCTTCTACTCCAACCCTCTACTCAAGCAGGAGCCCCTAGACTGTTTCAGACAAATAGATGTCCAGTCTCTTCCTTGCAAATTGAGTGTCAGAAACCTTCCCTACCATTTGGGCTCAGCTGGCTGTTTGGGGTCATAGCTTTCTGATACTATAAAAGCAAAAAAAAAAAAAGTTTATGTAAACTTGAACTGTTGCAGTTCACATGGTTAATCAAAGAGAGAAGCAACCTAGAACTAAGGAGAAATTTCCTGACAGTTAGAATAATTGATCAGTGGAACTACCTGCCTCCAGAAGCTGTGAATGCTCCAGCACTGGAAGTTTTTAAGAAGAGACTGGACAGCCATTTGTTTGAAATGGTATAGGGTTTCCTGCCTGAGCAGGGGGTTGGACTAGATCAGACATGTCAAACACAAGGCCCGGGGGCCAGATGCGGCCCGCGAAGTGGTTTCATGTGGCCCGCGAAGCCATCCTGGAAACAGTGAGGGAACGGCCCCCGCTGCCTTGGCCCTGGCCCAGACCAGCTAGGAGCCAATGTACAATTTTGTGGTGGCCATCTATGCTGAAACGCATTCAGTCTTAGCTCCATAAGCCCCCCCCACCCTGCATGGCCTGAGAGGAACAGTGAGGCTCCTCCAGTGGACCATGCCTTGGCACTTGCCCTGGTCCCACCCCCTTCTGCCAGAGACCCTCAGATCTATCCCACTCCTGCCCAGGCCCCCACAGGCACCCTTGATGCGAACGATGTAGAACTGGCCACACCCACCCAGTAGGCCACACCCACTCCATCCAAGCCCACCCACCCTGGCCACCCCCACCCACCCCCCTGAAGGCAACCGCAATGCTGATGCGGCCTTCAATGAAATTGAGTTTGACACCCTTGGACTAGATGATCTCCAAGGTCCTTTCCAACTTTTTATATTATTATTATTATTATTACTGCTACTACTACTATTATTATTATTAGTCTCAATTGCAGTTGCTAAACAAAGACTCCCAATGAACATTTAAGGCATTTTATACTTTTCTATTCTGTCCTACCTAAATTAAATAAGACTAAAGAGTAAAAGTAACCACAAGGTGTTGTTAGAAAGATATAAGTAACTCAGAAAGAGACCCAGTTTAGTCTAGTGGTTAAGGCACCAGGTTTGAAAACAGGAGATTGTGACTTCCAGTCCTGCTTTAGCCATGAAAGCTGGCTGGGTGACTCTGGGCCAGTCCCTCTCTCTCAGCTTAACCCACTTCACAGAGTTGTTGTTGTGGGGAAAATAGGAGAAGGAAAGTGTGTTGGATATGCTCACCACCTTGAGTTATTTTGTAAAAATAATTAACAGTGGCATACAAATAAAACAAATAAAAATAAACTTTGGGGAGCTTAGATAGAATGTGATAAGTAAACATACTGAAGATGTTAATTTGATCCATGGGTTGTTCAAATGCCAGCTGCCTTTGTTCAAAAGAATCCTTGGAGAACATCTGAATATTAAAATTATTATAAGTTTCAGAATTAATTAAAGCTAGTCCTAAAAACTTTTGACTCACCAATCCTGGACAGCATTGAAGGATTCTTCATTGGTGATGTCATACATCAAAATGAAACCCATTGCCCCTCGATAATAGGCAGTGGTGATAGTCCGGTATCGTTCCTGCCCTGCTGTATCCTGGGAAAAACAAAAGATGGCTTTGAAATACTTTTTATAGTATTTAAAAGTAACCTATGGAATATGTGGGAACAATCTTGAGAGATGGAGGGGAAGAGATACTGATCAGATAGGAGACGGATGAACCTACATTTGCTTGACAGTCAGAGAAAGAAACTTAGGAAGGACCTGTCCTAATTGAGCAGGCTGTAAAAAGAGACAGTGTAAAAAGAGACAGTATTGCAAAATTCTATTAATGAAGCCTTACAATAAAGTAGAATTGGCTCCTCTGGTGTCAAGCCCAAGCCCAATGACAAGACAGTGACAGCCAACTAAATCCAGTCCTTTATTTGCTTACACCTAATAGACAGAATCTTGACAAACTAAAGCTATAAATTTCTCAACTATTAAATATACCAATAGCAATAGCACTTAGCCTTATATCCCACTTCATGGTGCTTTACAGCCCTTTCTAAGAGGTTTACAGAGTCAGCCTATTGTCCCCAACAATCTGGGTCCTCATTTTACCAACCTCGGAAGGATGGAAGGCAGAGTCAACCTTGAGGTGGTGAGAATTGAACTGCTGGCAGTTGGCAGAATGAGCCTGCAATACTGCATTCTAACCACTGTGCTACCATGGCTCTTTATCCAGAGATATTCTAGGATGTGGTTACCCTGAACCTCTTCTCTCCTCCCCATCCAGCTCAGGACTACTTGGTCTCTTGATTTGTGTGCCTTTCTGGGGAAGCTATGAGTTGGTTAAATTCTCCCCCTCTGCTCGTAGTGCACATTTCATCAGATTTGATCATATTTCCTGCCTGCTTTATCTGGAAGGGCTGACACTTCCTCTGACAAAAAGAGAGTGCTAGTCTAATTATATTTATATTGTTTAATTCAGTTGGCAAGATCTTTGACCCCTTTAGGCTCTTTCCCAGCCATCCCAGGGACCCCAATCCTTCTGCTGGCAATATTTTCTGCCAGAAAGAAATTATTCTGGTAAAGCTTGCAAGCAATCCTGGCAAGGCAGTTTTTTCTCAACCTTTGCAACTTTAAAACATGTGGACCTAAAGGCCCAGAATTCCCCAGGCAGCATGGGGAATCTGGGAGTTGAGTCCACATGTCTTAAAGTTGCTAAAGCTGAGAAACACTGCTATAAGGCAAGACAGCTTCCACCTGCTTCCTTACCCAGATTTGCAGTTTAATGCGCTTGTCATTGCGATAGATGGTTTTCACTTTGAAGTCAATGCCAACGGTGCTGACGAAAGCCGGAGTGAAGGAGTCATCGGCGTACCGGAAGAGGAAGGAAGTCTTCCCAACGCTGCTATTGCCGATGATCAGGATCTTGAACATGTAGTCAAAGTTCTGGTCTGAGGACTCCTTTTGGCCATAGCGAGCATCTGTTGCAGAAGCCATCTGGGAAAGAGTTGGAGGAAGGTGTAGGAAAAGGATGGGGCAGAAAACACCACCCAATTTGCAACTGAGGGGGTGTCTGACTGTCCTTTACCCAATAAGACGGGAAAAAGAACTTCAGCAGAAAACCACGTCCTCTGATTCTTTAAGATTAATGATAGATCCCCAAGACCCTTTAAGGCAGTGGTTCTCAACCTGTGGGCCGGGACCCCATTTGGGGGTCGATCGACCATTTCATGGGGGTCGCCAAGCAAGGCTGTCCGCCATTTTTTTTGTCCGCCATTTTTCCCCCCCTTTTCCGGCGGGTGCCTTACCTCCCTTGGGCTGGGACAGCTGGTGGTCGGCCTGCTCCGTCTCTGCCGCTTGCCAGCTACGCCTCGGCCGGTGCAGGGGGCGGAACCAAGCATGCGCGGCGCTCCCGGGCAGGGGAAGTCCTCGACTTACGACCGGTTGGGTAGTCCTCGACTTATGACCAGTTTAGTCCTCGACTTACGACCGGTTTAGTCCTTGACTTACGACTGGTTTAGTCCTCGACTTACGACCGGTTGGGGTCGCGGCATTAAAAAGGTTGAGAACCACTGCTTTAAGGCTATTATCTCCTCAAGTTATTTCCCAAGCTATTTTATGGAATCTGGCTGAACTTAAGCCCACCGCAGACTTTTAAAAACATTTAAAAGAAAAATCACTGCTAATTTTCTTAAAGCATTTTTGATAAGTACCATCCCCATTCAACAATGTTATTTATTTGTCTTGTTATTCTACATATACAGGCGCTCGAACATATTTAATATTGTAATGTAAACTGAGCTAAAAATGAATTACAGACAGTCCTCCACTTACAACTAAAATTGGGGCCAGAATTTCCATTGCAAAGCAATGAGCTTGTTAAGTGAGTTGTGCCGGATTTTAACGCCTTTTTTTTTTTGCCATGGTTGTTAAGCGAAATCGCTGCAGCTGTTAAATGGATCAGGTGGTCATTAAGTGAATCCAGCTTCTTCCATTGAACTTGTTGGAAACCCCAGTTGGGAAGGTTGCAAATGGCGATCCCGTGGCCCCGGGGCACTGCAGCCATTCTAAGTACATGCTGATTGCCAAGTGACCGAATTTTGATCATGTCACCGTGGGGATGCTGCGACCGTTGCAATTCAAGGAATGGTGTAACTTCAAACGGTTGCTGAATGAATGCTTGTTAAGTCAAAGACTACCCATGCAGTATTGCAGTGATATGTGGCAGGGGTCCTCAACCTTTTGGGCACCAGGGACCGGTTCTGTGGAAAGAGGTTCTTCCACAGACCGGAGGGTGCGTGGTTTGTGTGCTGCCGGCATCCTGCAGATGGGGCTTTGCTTTTTTGTACGGACCAGTTGCTGGCATGCTGTGGCCTGGTACTGGTCCATGGACTGGGGGTTGGGAACCCCTGATATATGGGACAGGGATCAAAATCTGCATGATGGCAGTTGAGGTATTATGATTCAAGCTAAAGCAGAGGGGTTGGCTTGCAATGCCACCCCCACCCTTTGGCACAATTTGACACTATTGATCAAAAGTGTAACATTTTATAATCCTTATGGAAGTTTACAAATAGGATACACTAACAAATTAGGCAGAGAACTATCTTCTCCATTATGAACTATTAATAAAGTGGTTTCATTTTTTTTCATTTACTGAAGAGTTCATTGCAATTTGATTTATTAAATAGTCTTTCTTTTCTTTCTTTGATAATTTTGTATTATTTTGCCTATTGCACAACATACAACACAGCTCACTGATGGATTATGGCTGCTTGGAATCAAGAACCAAGTTCCAATGAGTTCAGATAACTAGTTCATAACGCATTGTAGATGTTTATAGATTCAGAGTTTATGTTTTTAAAAAAGGCTACTTCCACCATTTTTCCTTGGTTCTGTCATGATATCCAACTAAACAGTAATTACATTTATAGCCCATGTTCCACCAGAGACAGCAGTAATTTCTCATATAAGTATGGTCTAAACGGGGCGTTGGTCTTACCTGAACGCCATTTCTCAGCATGATGATGGATAATCCACTTGATTGGGTTTCCTGAAGTCCCTTGTACCCAATAAGACTAAGTCTGAGATAGCCACGCCTCCTGCCTGGCCGCACATGCCCAGTTCTGACGGAGGCGAAGCAACAGACAAAGTCAGGCGTGTTGTTCTCCAGACCCCTATCACC